TCTCTCTCTCTCTCTCACACACACACACACACACACACACACACACACACACTTACACTTGCAATGGAAACCTGTGTCTGCTTCTCATCTTACCACACAGTGTCCTTAGTTGTCATCATAGAAACATCCTTTCACACAGTGGTTCTCCTGGTGACTGCATAGCTGCCCTCCACCCTTGGCCATATCTCCTCCTCACCTCTCCCTGGTGACCTCTCCCACCCTGGTTCATGGGTTGCCTGAGCCTTTCCCTGGGCAGGTGACATCCTTCATGAGAATGTGGTGTCCATGGGTTCTGCTGATGTTGGGCTTCACCCCAGGGGCCATCGCAGTGTCTGCAGTCAGTCTGGGTGTCTGCAGGGCGGTGGGCCTCTCCTGCTACTGGGTGGTAGAGAGCTCCCTGCTGCCTCCCACCTCACAATCCCAGAGCCCAAATGACAGCTCAGCCAGGCTCAGGAATCCTGCAGCCACATTAATCCTCATCTTAGTTTATGCTGCAGTCTGGCTGGGCACAAATAACAAGCCACTCAAGCAGGAACAAACTTTATTTCTGAACTCTACCTGCACACTCCCCGGGAACTCTCCCGAATGCCACCCACTCATCTCCTCCAGGAACACACACACTCCAACTAGAACTCCCTGCCCTGGACTGTGCACGCACTCACTCTCAGAACTCCACGAGAACTCAACGGGAACTCCAAAGTAGCGGGCGCCCAACGCAGCAAGAGCCATCCTATTACGGGGCAGTAAAGGTCTAATATACAATTGAATCAATCCAGCATCATCTTAATGGCTCACCTCTCAACCATTACTTCTGGCAAAATGGCAGGGGCCATTCCGTCTCAGCTGTGGCTCACAACATCCCTCCTCTTCTGTTGAATTAAACAATAAGCAATGTGGCTTAGGGACCATGCCTGTTAGGTTGTCCAGTACTACATATGGTTCTTACCCATCATCGGATGAGCTGACCTCAAGGTGTCATCCTCCTGTCTTAGGTTGGTACCACTGCAATTGGATCTTACCTGTCACTGACTACCTGTCCAGCATACAGCCACACTTGTGGATAGGCCTATGCACCAGTGTGTGTGTGGGGTGAGGTTCTTTGCCTCACATCTCTTGGTCCCCAAATTTGGCCTTTGCACCAGAGGAGGGGTGAGGTTCTTTGCGTCACCTCTGTTGGCCCCCAAATTTTAGACCATCACTAGCAGAAGGGAGCAGGATGCAAAATGCCACGACACCAAGCCAAATGACGGCTCCTTTGGAAAAATTGTATCACTGATGACACCATCAGCAAAGATATGTCAGGACTACCACAATTTGCTGCACCAACAGATAGTTCACAATGCATACATGCGATACATAGTCCAGGAAAGTTCTGCAAGCAGTTCAAAGCAGAGGAATCCATCAATATGTCCATTTCCACCCAAAGTAAATTGACTCCTTGATTGAGCATTACTTTTTGAGTTATTATTCATTGATACATCAGTTTATCCAGTTTGTTGTGATAACTATGGAAGAAGCTGTAGTTTGGTTTTATCTTTGTCTTCACTGGCACTGGGATGAAGATAGGAATTTTGGCAATGATGCTAAAAAAATATGTAAAATTCCAACAGGTACTAAGAAAACAATTTACTGAACAATTTTCATTATTCTGAACAGAATTATTAAATATAATGAAAAAGATAGGTGAAAGTAAACAAACAGATCTGTTAACCTCCTTATTTGTTGACATATTAAAACAATCATCAACAGCT